TTTCTTGTAATTTTATGTATGGTAGCAAAAAATCAGGAAAAGGGGGTCGTATCTGGGTCGCATCTAAATTTCTTCGGAGCTATCGAAGCTTGTTGGCTGCAATTCTGCTGTAATATGAGGCCAATCTCCTACTTTCCCACATAAAAATTGCAGGCTGTTTTATAACTTCTCTCGTAAGTTACAAAATTTTAAGCTCAAAAATCCCAGTTTTTGCTTTTTAGGATCGCATCTAAATTTGCGAGAGTCGCATCTAAATATTTTCGAGCTTACTGCTCCTCAAGAGCTGAAACTTTTTCTATGGATAGTATGGTCACAATACTACAGAACCTGTGCTTTGCAGCCTGTCAGTCTTTTCCTGGCCTTAGTTACGAATTTTCAAACTACCGTGCTCATGCACGTTTTTGACGTCGTTCTGGACGGCGCTCAAGCGGTTTTTTTTCGCGGGAAAAACTGTGAGTAAGGTAGGAAGTAAGCTTCTTAGTCAAAAACTTCTTCTGTGGTTCAAGAATGTCATTTTTTTCACCGTGCAAAAATTTGTGTCGCCTACGGGAATCGAATTTGCTGGTCTGAAGTATGCCTGAAAATTCAAAAAAAAAATCTTGCAGATTCTCAAACATTATTGAAGGTGTGTATGTGTGCTACAGATGCTGGACGCACCCACTGGCCTAAAAATTCTGCTTCCGAAACCTCACTGAAGTTCTCACGCAGGTGTTTTTTGAGATTGACATTCGTTTATGCAGGTTAGCGCGAGGAATGTGGGCGGGGAAGTAAGGGGGGTAAATGGGGGAGGGTGGGGGGAGAGGTAAGGGGGCGGGGGGTCGTACGGATGGGTACCTTCAAGGGGGGGGGGGGGTTGTAAATGAGGGTCCCGGATCGCATCAACACGCTTGACCCTGATTGGAACGCTGGCCAGAGTCCACACTATAGTAGCGTCTGCAGGAGGAAGTAAAGTTCTTGGCATCTCCTTCTGAAAAGAGTGCAGATGCCAAAAATCCGCAACATTATATTTAGAAAATTATAATTCTTCACGAGAACACAATCAGCACAAAGTATGCACATTTATATATGAAACGTGTGAAAACAGAATTAAGTTACAGGTTTCTGAGGAACATTTAAAATGATCGAAACTCATGGGATCTTCCTCATCTTTGAAACTCTATCTCCGGAATTTGTCTCTAGCAAATTATCAAGGTGGCTTCTTTCTACTGAACTGATGGCAAATAATACTCAATTAGAGAGAAGTTACGAGAAAATGGAGTAGCTACAATCTTTGGTATTTTACCTAGGATCTTATACTCTGAATCACTGATATAGGCTGGGTGGAAAGTATTGGCGCGTTTTGTTGCGTTGATTTTAGCTCGCTTGTATGTCCCATGAGGTGCATAGGATCACCAGGCAGTGGTGATCAGTGGAATGTCGACGTGAAGTAACCATCAGGCGTCCTTCCTCGGTCAACATCGTAGAATGCGAGCATCAAGGAACGACTTACTCGAAACAACGGAGTTAGTTTGAACTCTATTGCAAAAAGCCTGTGTATTTCTTGTCAGACTGTTCAAACTGTTGTTATATACCCTTTGGACATTATCAGATAACGCTAAGCTGAGACTTTGGAAGAAAATTTCACACGTCTTCGAGAGGTGCCGCGTAGAAGACGTGATGTTTTCTGATGAGGAAATCTCTACATTGAAATAGCTCACAACGACCAAAATGCAGCTACTGCTCAGCCCAAGTTGGAAAACGCTATAAGAAGGAATGTTCACGCGAATGCTTTATCCGAAGGGAGTGCGCCATGAAAAAGCAAAAAATAAAAAAATAAAAAAATAAGCGCGAAATAAGCGAAAACGCAGAATGGATATTTCAGCAGACTGCGCTCCTGCGCACGCTGCAAAAGGCACGCTGCGACCACCACTGCCCTTTTTGGACGCTACTGTGCCAGGCCATCTGACGAAAGATCAATGCCCCCCCCCCCCAAACAGTCCCGACCTCAACCAACTTGACTTTGCTGTTTGGTGTTACTTAGAGGAGAATTCAGGAAGCAAAAAAGTCAACAGTGTATTTGGCCTTTGCAGAGAACTCGCAAGAGCAAAAGCATGCATGAGAGCTGAAGATGCACATTTCGATCTTCTATAAATTATTTGGCCTACTATATTTTCTTCATCTGCGAGAAAAAATCAGTATCAAGATTTGTTATTGGAAGAAAAAATAAAGTACTTAGGCGTCAATCTTTTCTATCATTCTGTATCTATTGCTTCCTGAATCAACTAGTCGTAAATACCCTCGTTTGGCACATATGTCAAAGACACGCAATCGAAAGCGTTATGAGATTCGCTCGTGAGTTATAGCCGGTTCGCGTAATAGGTGTCGTGCTTACGTATATAGATCTAAAGATATTCTCCTATGCTTCGGTCATACTCAATCATAATCTGATGAAGCATGATGCTTGGCTGCGTGGTCGGATCCAGGGCTTATGCGTCAGGAAACATCCGTAAATTGATGACTAGAGCCACTAACATTTCGTTACACAAGTCTTGTTACACTTTCTTCATCTTTTTCAGGAAAGCCGCAGAAACTGCAAAGTTCCATCATATTTGACATGCATGAGGGAACAAAGAGCAATCCAAAAGAATCATTTCCATCTTAGACATGAGTTACAGTGAAAAGATTCTGTGATGGCACTCAAGCCTTCTTTTCCTTCTTCATTTTCAAAAGTTTTTTCACTTCGTTCTTATCTCTTAGATATCTTATGTACTTTTGGGAGCATCAGTGTTGATAAGAAAGTAGTTCGGAGATTTGAGCCCTGCGATAGCGCAGTTAAACAATTGCCAAGAATAATACAGAAAACGTTTGAATCCAAAATTGCACAAAAATATGAACGTCATATAATTACCCCAGCCTCGCACTTTACCATACAGCCCTCAACTAGGCAAGTCATTTTATAAAAAAAAGCTTTCGTTTCAGATTCAAAGCCTAAAATAAGTAGTTTTTTTGCGATCTGTTGAAATGGGTGTCCTAAAAATGTGCACATTGTTTGGTTTATAACTCTCTTGTTTTGAGGTCTTTCGCAAGTCTTCAGATACCATCTGTAGGGCTGGCTTCAACTTAGGTTTATAGTAGGAAGCGAGTCTCCGACCCCTCTTCGTTATTGTATTACGGTAAGAACTATCAGCATACAGAGCCATGGTTAAAAAGGGGTTTTCATGAAAAATTTCCAGAAAAAAACTGAGAAATTGCGTATCAGATTTTTCACCATGTTGATCTTATTGCACAATACAAGTTTTCTAGGCTTTTTCAGTGGCGCAATGAAATTTCTGATTAATTAACATTGGAAAGGGAGCTTCGGTCTTCCTAAAATAAATGTTGAAGAAAGCATACTATAACTTGCGATTTTCATACTAAAAATTAGCGACTCTCGTTAGCCTAACATAAGAGTTGTTGGCTTGCTTGGTCTCCTTTTTGAGGCAAAATGCGACTCCTAACAGCTTAAAACTCTCTTCAAAGCTCCCCCCAAGTCAGGGCTCGGCACGAGATGGCTTCGTGAAATTGCAAAAAACGAAGTCCCTTTTGACTTTACATTGAAAGTGGCATCCGCCGTGAGATTTGGAGAAAAAACACATGAAAAGAAAGGAACAAAGCAAAACAAAAAAAAACGCCAGAGAAGAATCAAAATGCGATGTATTCGTATTCTTTGGATGCGGCATAATGTATCCAGCGCGCAGCACTACTACGCCCTGGAGCAGCGTTGACGCCGCTATTCAAAATTTTTGAGTGGCTTTAACTAAGCGGGGAAGAAGGGGTTTAAGGCGATTAAGGAATCAGCTTGTTGGGTTTAGGATGTAGATGAAATTTATGTGAAGAAGGCAACGAAATTGTGCGGGGAGGAAAAAATTTATACTTTTTCTTTCCCAAGCCACCTCAGGTGGCTTCCAGGTGGCTTGAAAGCCACCTAACTTCGAAAAAAGTTGGGCACGCTTTCAGTTCAAATAATTTCTCCATACTTTTCATATATAGTCCTAACCCCACATTGCCCATCTACACACCAATTTTGGTGTCATTTTATTTCCACTTCGCTGTAAACTAGCCCTTTTTTTGTTTAGGAGAGCTTGCCGCCGGCACGTGGACCCCATATTGAAAGACAGCGGTATGCTAATTCCGCAAAAACGATATCCTCTTTGCTTTTTACTCCAAAAAACGATATCCAGCTTGTTTAGTAAGCCATCTGTGCCGTGCCCGATCAGAGATTCGTTTTATACTGTAAATTTGAATTTAAGTCAGCTCTTCAAAACGGTACGCGAAGATTGACAAAAGACATTGAAACAGGAGAGTTATCAACAAATCAAACAGTGTGCACATTTTTTAGGACACTCTGTATATGATAGTTGTAAGCGAACACCATAGCAAACCCTAATTGTATCCTTCCTCACCAGTGCACAAAAAGAGGATCGAAAATCTATTCGGCGACAATGAAATGGCTATGCTATTAGGTTTTTTTGCAGCGTGCGCATCAAACTTTAGTAAGGTCAGCACGTGCCAATTTGTACAAAACTATGGTAGAAACTACCTTGAAAGTTCATCGCCAACAGAGGTAGAAGAAAAGAAAGAAGGGAGGGAGAAGAAGAGCAGAAGTTGTAGAGAAATTGTCGATTCACATCGTAGAGCAATTACTTAATTTTGAGCCCTCTGGCATGATTGGAAAGTGGAAGTTTTAGTAGAAAGTAGTTCTTTTTACGTTAGTTGAAGAAAAGCTTCGTTTTAATGTGAATTATAAGATTCTTCGAAAATTGAAGGGCCATTGTTTTGCTGGGTGTATGATTTCCAGTGAAACGGCAAAACACCTGCATTCCACTCATGACAAACTTGTCAAATAAATAGAAATTTGAAAAGATAGTTTTCAAGCCAAGCCAGTGCATATTTGAGTATCCAGAAATAGCTTATAAGACTTTTTCTGTGTTACTGCATATTGCATAAGATGATTGGTGAGCAGAAGCAATGCTAACCTATACCTGACGCTCTGCTTCTCCTAATTCAATCAAAATATCGCCAATCAGCAGCTTTTGATTCTCGTACTGCTCCAAGACATTGCCGCTCGAATCCAGCACGAAAAATATGTCCGTGCAGCCTAAAAAATGCAAGACAATCAATGCTAAATCTACGGTCATCCATCCTGATAGATCAAATATCCACCCATTATCCCTGGAGCTGTTGTTTCCTCATGGTCAGGCGATAGCGTTGTCACATCCTTAAAGGCAAAAGTTTCGAGAACATACGAAATCATATACTTTTTGAAGCGAAGCCACAACCCTTACCGAGCTCACTTTATTGTTCTTGAATTCGCTTTTGATTTTGGAACTGCGTGAATCATCGTCCGCGCCACGCTTGACCGTAGTACTACTGCTCACAAAAGTCGTGGATTCTTCTTCTAAAGAGGGTGGCACTTCCGCAGAGCTGCTTATTCCCTCTTCCGCCTCCGTCGAACTTTCCAAGACAACGTCCTCGGAAACGAGATTTGTTCCGTTTGCTGGATCTTTCACGGTCTCATCATTGTCGATCACAGTCATTAAAGCTGTCGCAGTCGTCAACTCTGGTAACTGTGTTGTTGTAGTACCATCACCCGTTGATGGAGAAGCACTTGTGAAGGAAGAGGGAACGATGCCATTTCCGTTCACTGTCGTAATGTCCGACACTGGAATTTGAGTTGTCTCAAGTCCTTTCGATCTTCGAGGTGGTTTGACAGTAGGAAGATTACTGGGATACCAGTCCTCCGCCTTGAAGGAAGGCGGAGGTTGCACTCCTGGTGGACCGACTCCTGTAAACAAGAAAGTTTTCTTACAAATTTGGAATGATTTAGGTCCAAGCATCATGTTGGTTCTACACGTTGATGAGCAGCACACGCTGAAGTTCATCAAAATTGTTTATTCGTAAAGTTTTGTCAACACGTATACTCATATGGCTACCCCAAAAAGAGATCAACTTATCGTGCAATTTAGACTCAACTCCAAGATGAAAAAGAGTATTCGGAAAAAATTGTAATAAATACCACACTTTCTAATAATTTCTGTTCTTATACTCTTAGAGAACAAAAAAACTTGAAGTGAAACTATCAAAGCTTCTGTTCCACCCCTGGCAGCTATGTATGCTATGCAATATACATTTCTCTTGACAGTATATCACACCAAATTCTGATTAACAATTCTTAGCTCCAATCTCAATGCTGTCAGAATATTTAACGCAGATTTTGAGGAGAAATCAAAAAGTAGCCAGATATAGCAATCATATTAATTAGTACTTAGAGGTTTTCAGTTTCTTAATCAACATCATTTAGGGCTTCTGCATGATTTTCGTGCGATTACTTCGCCGTCAGTCTACTTGAAACTCAAAGAGTACTTTGCACCTACATATAATTTAGAGCAGCTCTGAATGCTTGAAAATTTCTTCTCAAAGTTGTGATGTATAATTATTTTATAAAGATTAGAACTGTGAAAGACTTGCAATGAATTTGCTGGGAGTCGATTTTGCAAACACAGCACCTGAGCGACTTTATGAACAAGCTGTCAAGGGAAGCAAAAAACAAGTTAAAAGCTGACGCTTTTTTTTCAGAGTTCATAGCCACGAATTGGAAGCATTACATTGAAATTCGGAACAACAGAACTTTGCACATTTCAGTACATTTTCAAGATTATAACAGTGACTATCTTGGATTTTTTGTAGCATTTCCGGATTATGGTGTGCAAAACTCAAAAGAATCGCATCCGTAGAATTGCATTTCCCTCAAACCTTTGACAATATGTTTTTCTGGGAATCCCCTAGGCTACTACAAAGACAATTGCTCTGCTCAAGAAATCAATTTCAAGCAAACTCCTAAAAAGGTAGCTCAGAGAAAACGGTGCCCTACGGCTTTTGTGCCAACCCAAATGTTCTAATGAGTATGCTATGACAGTATTAACGAGATAGATTATAGACGTTTGCTTATATTGCTAGTACTTTTTACTACAATAAGTTAGTCATCTGTTACTGATAGATTTTTGAGTTAGTACAAGTATGTTGAATCATTTAACATTCTTCGATGTTCAAACATTTGATATGCTTCTATGTTCAAAAAAATACTATTGTAGATTCGAACGCTGGGATAAAAAACCGATTGCGGGTGACGACTCGCAACAAAACTGATGTATGAGTCGGTGTGCTATCGCGATAAAGAAAGTCGCTACGTTCTTAGCGAGAAAAAACTGCTAAACGCCGCTAGTGAAACGTGCTAGTCAGAGACGGCTATTAGCATGATGTTGTCTCACTTTAACAACGATTTATAATAACAAGATATTAAAGATTTCGCAAAAGTGCTCTTTTTCGACTCTAAGAAGTATAGGTTGCTGCATGACGAAGATGCAATAACTTCGGACCCGAACGCGGCTCTATTAATCGCAGAGCGCATGAGACGCAGTACTCACAACGGCGAAGATGCGCGCGCGTCGCGCTCGCGCCCGCTCAACTAATACTGCTTCTGCGCCTTCGTCATGCAGTAGCCTTTACCTAGCACACATTTATCCTGGTATGAACCTCATATCCTCGGTTCGTACCTCGTTAGAATCAAACTCTTGTTGCAAAGTATCACACTCTTGCAATATTTCGAGTCCCGATTGCCTATGTCATCCATCCGTAAAAACATTTGAGAAAAGGGGTCCACAACTTTTTTGGCTAGATATATCACAAAGTTGCTGAGACAAACAGTCTTTGAGCTGACTTTGGCTAGCAATTATTCAGCAGTTCTCAAATCTTTTCAATTCTACAAGATAGAGTGTAGTTCCTTAGAGTTTTTTATATTCCGATAACTAGAAGAGTATAAGTCGAAAATGGGTGTTTTTTGCACTGCGCAAGTCAAAATATGCTTTAAATACTCAAGGGAGTTCTTGGACTACAGAATAAGCGCACAAAAGAACAAATTTTTTTAGGTCAAGCGTACTCATTGTGTGAAAACGTTGTAACCTCTGGAGAGGTTGCCCATTTCGCCAATTTTCGGGGAATACAGGACAACGATTTACAAGGTCTCCAGAGAACTACATCTACACAAAACAGTTGACATGTTGAAAACTTGCGTGAAGAAAAGCAAAAAGTTGACAAAATGAAACTATAAGAAAATTCAATTGCAGTTTCGAATAAATACTTTTTGGCCCCGTTGATGAAGAGGTAAGAAAGGCTACTCGTAGGGATGCCACGGCATTATGAGTTTTTCTGCTTCTCGGTCAGTCAAACTGTCAGTGGAAGTTTACTTTGTATGAAAAATCGAAAAGTAGCAAAAAATTGTCAAAAAGGCTGGCGATTGTTTGCGATCAATGATATCTCGTAGAGTTACGCTGGAGATCAGTCTCAGCCCTTTGTTAGCCTTATTGGTTGGCTGACTCTGTCTTGCTTATCGGCAGACTTCATCAGTCCAAGAATATACAAAGTTTGAGAGACAGAAATAGATGAAAGGGCATAAGCTGCATGTGCATTTGAAATCTGCAAAATTGTTTGTGGCGATGGGAAGGTATTTGACGTAGCATATAAGCTATATAATCGTTGAGATATCAAAATACATCGACGATATTTCTCATTCTGTTTCATGCATTTTGGCAATCATCACCGTGTACGTCTTATAGACGTTGATGAAGCTAAGCTTCATGTAGAAAAAAGTAGAAATTTAGAGCAATTTCCAGAAAAGTACTACAGAAGTAAAAAAGACAAGAGACCAAAATAACCATTGGAAAATTAAATGAAAATCATGAGCCCTCAAACCTCGGATTACTGTAAGAACAACCACCTGAAAAACAACTGAACTACACCCACCGAAAACTGTCCCTGCACAAAGTGCATAGCAGATTAGAATTAGAATAGTAATCATAGAGCTATGAGTTAAGCAATAGAAGTTCGTTCGGAACGAAGTCGTTCGCCTTATGTGGTCAACGAGGGGTCTTCGGTATGACGGCAGTGAAAGATTGCGATCGAAAACCAGAAGGAGCACAAGGACAACGGCACTACACCCCTGCTTAAGCCACGAACATGGTGTCGTATCCCAGATTGTAGGGGTTGGACGGATACCTTGCAAATTTCAAGGTAAAAAAAAACGCGCGCAGAGATTCGAATCTCTCAGTTGAACGAGTTGAAGGAGTTAATGGAAGACATTTTTCGCTTGCAACTAAGTTGAGGAAAAGAAAAAGAATTGTCATTTTGAACATTCCTCGAAATTTCCTTAAATAAAACCTTCCAAATTCTGAAAAGAGTAGTAACAAACCTCCACTTTCCATTACATTGGTCCATGAGTAATGCATAGAAAAAAGTTATAATTTCCTCTTGTTTCGAGTTTATGTCGATATTTTTTTCAAACAAATCTCGGTCACTTCACGGCTGATTTAATCCAATCATGGTCTTGCGATCTACTTTTTTCAGCTATTGTTACGCTAATTTTGCGCTGGTCGTATGTTTCCGCAACTAGTCATGACTCTTGCTTTTTTTATTCGACACTTCGACATTTTTGTTGTTTCGATTAGGATCTTCAAGCTGTGTAAGAACTTTTGATAGAATGATCATCTCCTCCCTCCCTCATCTCCTTTGAGAGGGGTAGCGGAAATTTTGAAGGTGGTCTGCACAAGTTATCAAATGTGGACATGAGTAATAGATAGTACGACTCCTTCAAATGAAATGATTACAGAAGTTTTTGCTTCCAAATTTCAAACAAATATGTGAAGAATTCAGCGCCTACCTTCTTTTGTTGAAATTTTGTTGTAATCTCCAATTCATTGAAGAACAACAAAAGAAAGTTCCTATGGAGCGTGGCTACTCTTACTGCCATCGTATATTCGCTGTAATCTAGTGTACATCTATTCAAGCACTCAGTTATATTTTATCAATTGTTTCTAAATAGGGCCTGGAGTGGAAACAAATTGAAAAGTTTCAAAATGTGAGACGGATTCATTCTCCAACAAAGTGCTGCGGATTCGCTTGTTCATTGTAATATGAAAAAAAAACTTTGTTGACACAATCGTAATGGTCACGTCACTGTTCACCTAGTTGTAAAATTGAACTGTAACTGCAACCTAATCACGGCTTTATAAACTGAGATTTCACTAGAATGAATGTAGCGCTGAAATGTAGGATTTTGAAATGTCACAATGTTCATTTGGACTACCAATCGTATGAAAATGGCCACCACACATCCTCAATATAATGTAGTCCACAGAGGAAGTATTGGGTTATTTCAATAAGCCTACCCGTTTTCTGTACCTTTTTTGAACTCCTGGTTTTGGATAAAGAAATCCTTTTCAAGAACGTTGCTTGATTTTTCTGAAAGCCCCTTTCTAATTATTTTTCTGACTTCCGTTTTCATAAAGTTCTCTCCGTTCTGTGATTCCGTATCTTGAAAGACCGCAAAACAAAACTTCCTTTGTCGTCCTAATGCTGTGAAGATCATACACCTCAGAGAGAGGGAATAAGTGGGTCTTCTCAATCTCTCGAAGAAAATTTCACGAAAAAATCGATGAGATTCGAGGTTAACAGTATTGCTTAGAAGCAAATGTTCAGAACTTCACCCAGCCATTTCAAACAGGCTGTATATCATCGGACTCGTCTTGAAACACTGATTTCAAACACGTGTTTAATATCTCATTATAAGAAAGAAGCACATTCATCAAAGATCCTTCGTGAAACATGGCTCACAAAACACTTGACAAATCACACATTTAATTGTCTATAACTCCTTCCTGATAGTCGTTCAACAGATAAACATATATTTGAAGTCAGCGTTTCAACGCGAGTCCGATGATATATAGCTTGTTTGGTATAGCTGGGTTGAGTTGTAACCATTTCCTGCTTAGCCGACTATTGACTACAT